AGAGAAGAGAAGAGAAGAGAAGAGAAGAGAAGAGAAGAGAAGAGAAGAGAAGAGAAGAGATTAAAAGAGAAGAGAAGAAAAGAAAATAGAAGAGAAGAAAAGAGAAGAGAAGAAAAGAGAATAGAAAAGAAGAGAAGAGAAGAGAAAGGTAAAGTGGAGTAGAATAGAGTAGAGCAGAGGATGACAGACACTTTGTGTCAATAGTCAATCTGCACCCGATTTGGCGGACCCTCTTAGGCGGAGTTTCGTCCATTTGGCCAAGTGTTCTGCTGCCTTTTTCATGTGGACATGAGAGGCTTTTTGCAGCAAAGTGCGAAAACGACCGCACTTCCGGCCTACTCCACGCGACCACGAACGTCTGGCGAGTCTCTGTGGAGGCGGACGGCCAGAAGTGACCGGCGCGATGGACCGTCTGCAGTAAAGCATCTGTTTGTCCTTATCTGCTTCTTTTTTATCCCTATCGCTGTTTCTATCTTTGTTGGTGTGTCTGCAAGCCTGCGTTTTCATGCATCTCTGTGTTGGTTTTTGTTTTTGTGCATCCGTTTGCCTACGTCCGCTTGCATCTCTGTACGTATGAATGTGTGCGTGTGCATTTGAGTGTATTTGTGTGTGATAACACGAAATGTGAATAGACAGGACATCTCGATTTCGATTTGAGGACTTTTGCCATCTTTCCGAAATACCGCTCAGCTTGCGGTGGCTAACAGCAAAATGTCAGTAAGCTCGATTATGGAATAGAGCTCAGAGCAGGCTCGGATATGCCAAAAGGGACCGTTTCACAAATGGGCGCAGATATGAAGAACAAGATGATGTTGAGCTGATTTGTATTTCGAGTAAAAATGGGCGAGAAAGAGACTCGAAAGTGAATGCCGCCAGAGGATGACCAACCTTCAGCTTACTTTACTGGAACATTCTTGCTGACGCTGTCGCCACAGCAATTCCATTCGATGCTTTCTTATGTCATCCTCACAGCAGACTATCCTTCTTACATCCCATCTACTCACAGTCTCGAAAATCTACTTTTAAACGAACAAATAAAGCGTTCGGGTTTGTTCAATTCATACGTAAACTATAGTTGTGTGTGTGTTTATATGTGTGTACGTGTGTTTACGAAACTAAATAGCGCAGCATGTCTCCTCAGTCATCATGACCCCCCTGCCTACACCTTCGTCTTTTTATGTCAACCATCATTCCGATTGCATACTCTCGGACACACGCCCGGTTAAATTGATGAGCTGATAATGTCCGTCATGTGACGCACGCAAGTTTCGAGCACAACATTTACGCGAATATTTAAGTACAGCTAATCGCCGTCTTCTGGTAGCACCTTTGACCTTCGCAGCTCTACATTACACACAAACACAATTATTCAAAATGGACGTGAACTCATCACTTGTACGCCTAAAGAGATTCTTCGAAACCCAATTTTTCTCCGCACAAGGACTTAGCTGGGCGGGAAATTGCTAAAATAACACAATACGACGTTGCTTGCGTTTATGTGACCTAAGAGGTGAACCCTACCATCTCTCGCTTCAAGTTCTGCTGACCGGTTGCTGATGTTCGAGCGCAACTTCACTTCAAGCTGTAGGTTAAAAGGGCCTTTAGACCACGCAACGAAAGCAAATTGCCTGACAACATGACGTCTTTGTCTCGTTCATTTGTCGAACGACTGGTTGTCAAGGCGATGTAAATGGTTTCGGAAGTAATAGAAGCTATGAACATCATGTTGAAAGCGAAACGAACTTCTCTCAATCTGTGGCATATTTTCCGGCCATTTTTGCATCGACAAATATGCCCCTTGCCGCTGCGGGCAATCATACTACTAACACCAACGTCAGTAGTCAAGTCGTCACTTGCCTTGCCTTGATAGTTATGCTTGTTGAGTGACTTGAAATGTGAACATTTTCATCATTTTGCACACATGTTCACAGTTCGAGTCCCGTTGAACTGTAAAATGGAGGTAATCAAAAAAGATTTTCTTTCCACTTACTCCTGGGCTGACCGGCTGTTGATGATTCAATAAAATAAACAGTCGAAACTGACACAGTTAGAAAAATGTCAGGCTCCTGGAAGTCAGCCTACCGTAAGACTATTTCAATAAAAGTGGCCGACTTAATTGCCCCGGCAAACAAAAGGGAAGGGCAAGCTTGGCGGCTCTGACGTTAAAAACAAAACTGGCATTTATGTTTATTAATTGCTCTTTGGTCAATTTAACAGCCTACTGATGTGACAGCAGTAGTGATTGGGCGTCAGATGCCAGAAAACGACATGATTATTCTTTTTGCTGAGTTGAGCTGGAATGATAAAGTGGTGTTTTCACCAAAAGCGAGGAAAGATGTATGAATTGTGTTCAGCCTGTTTCGCTTAAAGTGATGAAGGAT